CATTTACACTAGATAATTCTTTGCCGTGAGAATGTGTCCTGTGCCTTGTAGGATGTTTGACAGCATCTTTGGCACCAATAGATGCCAGTGGGATTCTTTTCACCCCACCTATAGTTGTCTCCACACATTGACGAATGCTATTCCTTGGCAAAATCACCCCTGGGTGAGAACCACTGTCCTAGAACAATCCCTTTTTAAAAAATGTGAAGAGGTATAATTTAAAAAGTTAATACGTACATCGAAATGCAATTCTAAAAAGTATTTAAATCTAACAGAAAGTGGGAAAGAAAAAATAGCAATAGAAACTGAAGGGACAAACAAATAAATAGTAGTCTAAATTCCAGCCATATCAACAACTATTTTAGTATTAATGAGCTAAACACTCCGATCGAAAGATGAAGATTGTCAGAGTGAACTAAAGAAAAAAATGAATTAAAGATCTAAGCATAAGCCATGTACAAAAGATGCATTTTGAATATGAAGACATAGGTTGAAAATAAATAAATGGGAAAACATGCCATGGATAAAAAAGCAGAAGTAGCTGCATTAACTCCAGATTAAAAAAAAATAGTCCAAGACACAAAATATCAAATAAAGAGGGTCATTCCATAATAATAAAATTTTGAAGATAAAACTATATATAGCAAACATTGATGGAAGTTATGAGTAGTTCTGTGATCATGGTATGAGATTATTAACACTGTCCTCTCAGCAATTAATAGAACAGCTAGACTAAAACAAAAACAACTAGACAACAACAAAACAAGACATGGAAGATCTGAACAACACTATCTGATATTTATAGAATGCCACTCCTAACTTCTGTACAATATATACAGTATTCAAGAGTACATGGTATGTTCCCCAGGAGAGACTGTATGCAAGGCAATTAAGTAAATTTCAGTATTAGAAAAATTGAAACTGTACAATGTGTAATATCTGACCACAAAGGAATTAAATTAGAAATCAATAACACTAAGGTATTTAGGAATACCCAGAATATTTCTAAATTAAACAAAATACTTGTAAATAATCTATGTGTCAAAAACGAAATCATAAGGGAGATTAGAAAATATTTTGAACTGAATTATAAAAATGCAACATCATAATTTGTGGAATACGGCTAAAGTTTAAAGAGAAACTTATGGCTTTAAATGCTTAGATTAAAAAAAAGAAGAAAAGGTCTAAAATCACCAAATTAGGCTAGGGGGAAAAAAAAAGCAAAGTAACTAGAAAGAATGAAATCATAAAAATAAGATCAGAAATCGATAAAATACTCATAAGCAAGTTTAGTAAGGGTGATCAATATAAATATACCCACAATATAAATATACCCGAACTAAATTATTGGCAACAAGCAATCTGAAAATGAATAAAACACTTGGGAATAAATTTAACAAAATAGGTACAGATTCTGTACACTGGAAAACACAAAACATTGCTGAGAAGTTAAAGGATATCTAAATAAATGGAGAGATACACCATGTTCATGGATTAGAAGACCATAGGGTTAAGATCAGTAGTGGGCTTACTTACATAGTGGACCACGAAGTAAATATTTTAGGCTCTGTCGGTCATGCAGTCTCTGTTACAACGACACCACTCTGCTGTTGCAACGTGAAAACAGCAATAGATAACATGCCAATGAATGGGTAGTGCTATGTTCCAATAGAACTTTATTTATAAAAACAGGCAGTGGGCTGGATTTGGCTTGTGGACTATTGTTTGCTGACCTCTCATTAAGATCACAGTTGTTTCCAGATTGCTTTATAGATTCAGTGCAATTCCTATGAGAATTCCAATAGGTGTGTTTAATAGAAATTGACAAAATTATCCTAAAATTTATGTGGATATGCAAAGTTACTAGAATAGTCAAAACAACTGTGAAAAAGAAAGGATTTACAGTATTTGATTTCAAAACGTAATATAAAGTTATAATAATCAAGAGAGTGTGGCATTGGTATAAGGGCAGACTTATTGATGAATGGAATAAAAGCTAAAACTATAAAACTTCTTGAAGAAACCACAGGAGAAAATCTTCATGACCTTGGATTAGGCAAAGATTTTTTAGATAGAACACAAGTGACTGAAAAAAGAGTGATGATTTCCTAGTTTGAGATGTGGAGAAGAGGATATGGACTGCAAAAATACACATGGGATTTTTGTGGGAAATGATTGAAATGTTTGTTATCTTGATTGTGGTGGTGGTTTCATGAGTGTATATAGCTGTCAAGACTCATGAAATCATGCACTGTAAATGGATCTAGTTTATTTTTCCATACAAATAATAAAATCTCAAAATTGATTAAAAAGAAGAGAAACAACTTAATGTAAAGTTAAGTACCTGATTGGAAACAAAGAGTGATCTAGAATACAGATCTGAAGTAATTGCTCAGAGTGCAGAGCAGAGAAACAAGGAAGATGTGCAAAATGATAGAGAAGTTAGACACATGTATGAATGATAAAGGGAAAAGATCCAATATTCATTAAATGGGAGTTCAAGAAGATAATAGAGAAAATGGGAGAAAGGCACTATTCAAATAGGTAATGGTTGAGAGTTCTCCAGAATTGATGAAAGCCACAAACTCTTAAAGTGTCCCAGGAAGCACTATGCAAGACAATAAAAAATAAATCTTTAGTTAGATGTGTTGTAGTCCAGCTATTAAATCGTAAGGCAAAGAGAGTATCACAAAGTAAGTCGGAGAGAAAAGAGAAACTACATATATGGTGTAATAAAATTAGAATAGAAAAAAATTGGATAGAATTAGACATCTATTCATGATAAAAGCTCTTAGCGGAATTGGATTTGAAGGGCATTTATATAATCTGATAAATGCTGTCTGATAAGTCTGATAAAGCTACCCAAAACAAAAACATACAAAAAAGCAAGTCTTTTATCATTCTCTTTAAGTTCAAGACTGAGACAAGTTTGTCCACCACCACTACTTGCTGGTTCATTAAGACAAGAAGGAAAAATAAAAGATACAAAGATTAAAATGAAAGAAGCAAGACTGTCATTGTTACTTATATGTTTGTCTACACAGGAAACTGAAAGAGTCTTGAGATTGTGAGCATTTCTGTATACCAACCACAGTTTTGAAAAACATATAACTAAAATGCAACAAAAATATAAGGTTTCTAGGAATATATCGAAGAAAAGTTAGGCAAGGCTTTTATTGAGAGAATTGTACAACTTTGTTGAAAAAATTAAGTAAGCTTTAAAAAGGCGAGAGACACTATGCTCATGGACAGGGAGATAGAATATTTTAAAGATGTCTTTAAATGAATCCATAAAATCAATGCAGTCTTACTAAAACCACAATGGGTTTTTACATGAAATTAGATAAAAGTTGCACAGAGAAGCTCAGGTACTCTTGAAGAACAACAAAGAGGGAGGAGGAGACTTAGCCTACTAAATATCAAGTTTATTCTAAAAGCTATGGGACTTACTACAATAAACCAGTGGGACAGAATAGCGAACCTTCTACGTATGGGAACTTAATATATGCCGGAAGTGGCATTGCAGGTCAATGGATGATCATACCATTCTCCAGAGTAGGAAATCAGTAAGTAATGTCTAATAGTGAAATTCAAGAAGTAACAGTATAATCACGTTATTTAGAAATTTGGATGTAGGGCGCTTGGGTGGCTCAGTCAGTTAAGCTTCCAACTTGGGCTCAGGTCATGACCTCATGGTTGGTGGGTTTGAGCCCCACATTGGGCTCTGTGCTGACAGCTCAAAACCTGGAGCCTGCTTTGGATTCTGTGTCTCCCTCTCTCTCTGCCCCTCCTCCACATGTGCTCCGTCTGTCTGTCTGTCTGTCTCTCTCTCTCTCTCTCTCTCAAAAATAAAACATTAAAAAAAATTTAAAAAAAGAAATTTGGATGTAAACGCTAGAAATAAAAAGCTATGAGTTGAAAATGATTACCTCTGGGGAAAGGGAATTACGAGATGGAGGTGAACAGGAAACAGGTAAATTCCTTTTTTCTTTTTTTAACTAATGAATTTTTTAGAAACTGTCTTTAAAATTGGTAAGAGAATAACATAGAAAAGTGTAAGTGGTTTAATTAAAAAATATATTGCATCTTGTAAAAAGGTTTTTAAAAAAATTCTCTTTTCCTATAGTATGTTGAATATGCTTCAATTTTATCTTCCTGGTACTGCACCACTTGGCCAGTATGTCAAGCCAAATCTGATTTATCGGAATGTATCAAAATTTGCATATTCATAACTTTATTTTTTTAACTGTAAAAAGTTTTTTTTACTGTCTTCAAGTGGTTTTTATTTTTGATGTTTAAAATAAGTTGTCATTTGATAATCTTATATTGTATACTCTTAGTCCTCAGTATATTGAGTTAGAAATTATTTCATTGATTCCTAAGTATAATTTTTTTTAGCATTAAGTGGTTATTGTTTTAAGAAAGATATCACCAGTCTTTCTACATTTTTAAATAACAGAAGGGAACAAGGGATTTGATGTAGGTAGTAGCTCTATTGTTATCATCTGGCTAAGCATTATCTAGAATATTACAGTCTTCCTGTTGCTGTACTTAAGAATACCAAAAATAAAGTTAAATGCTCCCCCAAAAAGGATGAATGGGATGATATTGGCCTTGATAGCATGGATATGCTTAAATATATATTACTTGGAGAATAGGCGACTACAGGGGAAACAACTGTCTTTCACATATTTAATAGGATGCCGTGTGAAATAGGAAACTGGGACTGAAGCCATGTAAAAACAATAGAGGAAGTTACAGAGCCACATTTTCCCAAAATAAGGAAGCACTTTCTAGGAATGGAGAATACCTAGCAATGTAGGAAACGGACTCTGAAGAATAGAACTCCTTTAAGTATGGGTTGGGTATCCTTATATTAAATTCCCGAGAGATGGCTTCTTCATTGTATGAAAATTGATCTCTAAGGTCCTTTAAAATTTTCAGATTGTTTTGTAACATTGAGATACTTGCTTAGCTTTGAAGTATTTTGTGTTTTCCAGACCAGTGAATGGAGGTTAAGCTATGTCAATAAGGAATTTGCTGTCTGTCCTTCTTACCCGCCAATTGTCATAGTGCCCAAATCCATTGATGATGAAGCTCTTCGGAAGGTAGCTACATTTCGGCATGGAGGACGCTTCCCAGTACTCAGCTATTATCATAAGAAAAATGGAATGGTAAGTATACAGTATTGCTGCTTGATCTGTGAATGCCTTGGTTTGCAGATCTTTCCTTAGAAATGTTCCACTTTCTGTGTACTTGTTCATTGATGTGATTAGTCTCCCTTGCCAGAACTTCCTTCTTTTAAACATTAGGGAATCAGGAGTAGAGTGTTTTCCGTGATTAGGATATGACTTTGAATTCTTCTCATGATGCTGCTCAAAATTAGAAAGGCCAGACAGGTGGGGTGCTTGGGTGGCTCAGTCGGTTAAGCGTCCGACTTCAGCTCAGGTCATGATCTCGCAGTCCGTGAGTTTGAGCTCCGCGTCAGGCTCTGTGCTAACAGCTTGGATCCTGGAGCCTGCTTTGGATTCTGTGTCTCCTTCTCTGTCTGGGCCTCCTCTGCTCTCTCTCTCTCAAAAATAAATAAATATTTAAAAAAAAACAAAAAAACAGGCAGGTTTATCTTAAGGACTCAGTACTAAGGGAACTAATGTTTATTTGATACTTAAAATAACACTGTTAGGTAGAAAAATAAATTTCTCTGACCAGAATAATGGTAGAATTCTTTTTTTTAAATTATTTTTACCCAAATTTCCCTGTAAAAAGTAAATTGAGCAGACATTTTTATTTTCAAAAAGGAGAAGAATGACACGTTATTAGTTACAATTTAAGTAAACACAGGAGTCAGTAATTGAATAGTGCTTGCTGTATGTGTGTTTCCTAAATATTTTCTAAATCTGTTTCTGTCCTCTTATTTTCTCTCAGTCAATAAACTCGGCTTCTCATTTTGAAACCAATAGTAAAATAGTGGATAAGTTATGGTCATTTTCCGTTGCCTTTTTTCCCCTGGATAATAAGTCAAGCATGGATATTTAGGGTAAAAAAATTTCCAAAAAATTTGCTACTTTGGCATCAGATCATCTATCCCATTTGCATAGTAATATTTCTGTTTGTTAGAGAGTTCATTACAAAGCATTTTAAAAAGGGATATTAAATATACTATATGTCCATTTACATGGTTAGTGCAGTCTGGGAGTTAGCCATTGTCATCCTCTGGATGACCTTTCTTGATCATAATAAATTTCAAGGTAGTTAAGATAACAGCATATATTATGGGGAGAAAGTGAAATAACTCTAAACCATTCACCAAGGAAGAGATCTGTATAATATTAATTTCTTGAGAAAATGAAAGGTTTCAAAATCAAACCTTTCAAAATATATAGTTGATGGTCTTTGGAAATAAGTTTCTAAATCCTGAAATACTGAACAGGGTGAAAGAGGGTAACAGGAGAATAAATAATAGACAAGCAGCTTTAAAGATATTAAAAATGATTCCCCAAACACAAATAGTACATAAACTTTATTTTACCATTGGTGGCTTTTCTCTTTATAGTTTTTCTCTCTTTATACTTTCTTTTTTTATTTTTATTTTAGAGAGAGAGAGCATGAGAGGGGAGAGGGGTTGGGGGCAGGGGGGAGAGAGAGAGAGAATGAATGTGAATGAATCCCAAGCAGGCTCCACACTCAGCGCAGAGCCTGATGCAGGGCTTAATCCCATGACCCTGTATCATGACCTGAGCTAAAATCAAGAGTTGGTCGCCAAACTACTGAGCCACTCAACCGCCCCTCTTTTTCTTCTTCTTCTTCTTCTTATTTTAGAGAGAGAGAGAGAGAGTACACTTGAGCTGGGGAGAGGGACAGAGGGGGAGAAAGAGAGAGAGAAAGAGAGAGAGAGAGAGAGGGAGGGAGGGAGGGAGGGAGAGGGAGAGGGAGAGAGAATCCCAAGTAGAGCATGCTGAGCATGGAGCCTGATGCAGGGCTTGATCCTATGACCCTGGGACCATGACCTGAGCCAAAATCAAGAGTTGGACGCTCAACTGACTGAGCCACCCAGGTACCCCATCTCTTTATAATTCTTGATTAAACCTGCCAACCCTCTTTATGTAGTTGAAGCAAAAGTTTACTGGCACATAGGCCATTATTATTATCTCTGTTACAGGGCCATGTCCAGTAAACAATTTACTAACTAAACAAATTGTGATAATTGATCTTTTTAGCAATTGTAATTTATTATGTGGAAGTATTTTGAGAAGTAGGAAGAAAAATTGTGTTAAAGTGCAAGGCTTATTTTTGTTTTAGTTATTAACTATTGCAAATATGTGGAGATACTTCTTTGTTTTACGATCATATTCATCTTCAAAGTGCCACACAATTGTTTTTGAGATACTCTTAATCTAGCTAATTTATTTCTATTTTCAGAAACTTTCAAAGCAGCTACTCTTAAATTTTAAACTGCATCGTGCTTCTAGGTAATCATGCGAAGCGGTCAGCCACTCACTGGCACAAATGGGAGAAGGTGCAAAGAAGATGAAAAGCTGATAAATGCTACCCTCAGGGCAGGGAAACGTGGCTACATCATTGACACACGGTCTTTAAATGTAGCTCAGCAAGCTAGAGCCAAAGGCGGCGGCTTTGAACAAGAAGCCCATTATCCCCAGTGGAGGCGGATTCATAAGTCCATTGAGAGGTAACAGACTCTGGAGACAGTAGTAGGCTCTTATTTGAAGCGAATTAGAATGGGTGAGCCCTTAGCTGCAAAAATCACAAGTTCTCAAATGAACCTACGCATTAACTTAGAGTCAGAAATCGGCTGGATCTCCTGTCGCGTTTTATAAGATAAGCAGGAAACTTATCTTGGATGCCCACAGCTGACTTTTAGTCAGGTAGCATGCTTTCTCTCTCTCTCTTTTTTTTTTAATGCTTTATATATTTATTTATTTTTATTTTATTTATTATTTTTTTAAATTTACATCCAGCATGCTTCCTCTTAAGTTAACTCTGAAATTTCATCTCCGCAAGGTCAGAGGTCTGCTCCTCTCCTTGTAAGATCAGTGGTCATCAAACTTACTGAACAGATATGCCACGGAGAAGTATATTTTTCTAAGTCAGAAGACTAGACAACTTTCCCCCACACCCACCTATTCTCCCACCCTGTTTCCTCCACCTACATCTTGTTTACGCCTACAATTAGAGGTTTATAGGGACTTCTGGAAGGGTGGGTGGGAGTTGGAGCTAATAACACAGTGGGGTCTGAGCTGGCCCTGGGCATCCCTGCTAAAGGTACTGGGTATCCAGTGTTGGATCCGTGGAAATAGGATTGCAGATGTCAGTGGTGCGGCCTCGTGACTTCTTACAAAATGCGGTGTTCTGGCCCACTCCCCAGTCAGGTAATTTAGCTATGTAAACTGGGTTTAATCTGTTCAGGTGAGGAATGGTTTACCATGACAGGCATTTTAAGTATCTTTGCTGCCATGTTTACATATTATTTTTTCAGTGTTTAATCATCAAGTTATTGTGTAGTAAGGTAAATATTTTTATACCATTTTGAGCTACTTTTCCTCTTGGATATATTGGAGGTTGAAGTTTTGGTTGGTTTCTCTCTTCATCAGTGTGTTTTCTATTTTCTTTTTACTTTTTCTTATTTTTTAAAGGTATCACATTCTTCAGGAGAGCTTAATCAAACTCGTGGAAGCTTGTAATGACCAAACACATAACATGGACAGATGGCTCAGTAAATTGGAGGCTTCTAACTGGCTGACTCACATCAAAGAGATTCTTACAACTGCCTGTCTAGCGGCTCAGTGTATCGACAGGTAGAGTGTATTTCGGTATTCTGAAATGGGACACGCAGCGCTAACTAGACTTTGCTTTTATCCAGACATGTGTTTATCTGTTGTGTTAAAAGTTTGTGTCTAGTCTCTATTCTATGTTGAGATCATTGCATAAATTACTGTATAAGGTGGTCAATGCCATTCAGTGCTATCAATGAAGTGTGTGCATAGAGTCTGGCATTTAATTGGTGATTAATGTTTGTTGAACAGATATGAACCACAGGCACACATCTTCAAGGACACAAAGTTTTTAAATACTAAAGGAACTCTTTTTTTCTATAAAATCCTTGAATTGTGAATCTACCTATTTTCCTTTGCTTAAACTGTGAACAAGAATGAAAAGAAGTTTTCTTATTTGTTCTCAGAGGGCCAGGCTTGCCTTCTTACTTTCGAAATATCAATGAGAGGAAACATGTAATTTTGTTACACGGTAAAATGATTCTTTCTAATCTCTCAGATATCTTATTGCAAAGTACTTGATACGTGCCATTATAACAGGATCTCAAGTTGAGAAAACCCGATGGCAGTGATGTAAAGTATATGAAGTGAGTTTAGTTTATTCATTCAGCTGAAGGTTGCTAATCCTTGAGACTTGAAGCAGAGGACTTGAACAGAGAACTGGTATAAGTTGTTGCAGAAGCTTAGAATGCCCCTTTTAAGAAGGGGATTCTTCTGAGACAATAGGTAGGTGTAAGTATTGCCACTACATAGTTGGATGACACTTTTCCTTGAAACTGTAATTTGTCTTATTGGTGCTTCCAAATTAGGGATAGACATGTAACTTTTTTGTGGTTAGTGAGAAATTGGTAATAGAATGGGTTGCTTAAGGTCATGTGGTGAATTAGTGACAACACCAGAAATGGGTAGAGATTTTTGGTCTGGATTCTCAGGCTGTCACTAGTTTTTTGTTTTAGGCAAAGCTCAAAGCTCATTTATCTAACGAAATATGGGAGTTAAAGAAGAGGTTCTACGGCAGACAAATCAATACTACAGAAAGATGAGGTGTTGTTATTAAGGGTTCTGTTTCTTTTTAACCCAAGTTAAAAAGATTTCCCCTTACATGATGAGTGCAGAGCTTCTGTTTTCTTATGAACCATAAATCGTAATAAACATTTCTCACTGTGTTGTCCAAATTTGCAGCCATAATAATGGGATGCCGCAGATTAAGGGAACCCTAGGTGCAGAACAGTATTTGCTATCTCCACCTTTGTTTAGAGTCAGCTGGCCACCTTAAACAACGACTTCCACATTCTTAACAAGAGTTGAAGGTTTTGGTTTATTTTGCCATGATTGAGTTACCTTTTCTGATATTAGGCTTATTATTTATACCTCCATAAAAGTCTGCCCTTATAATTAACTGCTCAAAATGTAAAAATAGACCTTAAATTAATTGAATTGAATTTAAAATACGCCACAGATAACTAAGATATATAGATTCAATATATACATCAGAAGCCTTAAACTATTTACTCATACCGTTCTACCCAGTCATGAGATTTCATTCTTAGAATAAGGTTGTTAACCTAACCAGGGACCTTTATTTTCAAATTAAGAACTCTCAAATGATCCAGCAAAAGACAAAAAGCTAAGTATGTCATCTGTAGTGTAACAAAAATTGACAATGACCTAAATGTCTAATTCTCAGACATTTCAGCAAATTATAGTTGATCACCTAATAGAATATTATATAACCATGAATACAATACTTCTAAAGGTGGTATAGAAACATGGGAAAATGTTTATAATAAAAGTGGAAATAGTAAGAAATTACCTTATGTTATAGCTACGTAAAGTATATATGTATGTGGGAAAAGAATTAATAGTAACCAAACTGGAGACTCTTCTGGGAAATTTTATTCACTGTCATTTCAAGATAAGAGGTAGAAGGGGAGAGGAAAAAATGTAGTTAGTTTAGTTTTTGGTGTTTCCTTCCACTCTCTTTAGAATATTGGGCCCCAGACTCCTCCTAAATATTGTGGTATAATAGTATCATTGCCACTGAGTTTCTAGATTGAAAGTTTTATGTTTTGTTTTATGTATCTTGTTTTCATGTTTCTAAAAATGTGGTTTAGGACTTGTTTCCTAGATTCATTATGTCACAGTTTATGAAGGCATCCTTACAGTCAGCTGAGGTGGAAAGATAGAATCAAGTCAGAGAGATACAGAAAAATAACTTTAAGTGTGTGTTCCTAGGTGTGATGAGAAAAGGCTTTAGTTAACTTAATAGGCAGAAAAGATAAGTGCTTACTGTGCATGATAAGGACTGCTTTTGGGTTTTGTAAAGGGAGAAAAAATTCAACTAAAAAGTTTTGTGAAATTTGTTGTAAGTTAAAGAGGTTCTTGCCATGTGAAATTTGGAACTTATAGTTTTATTTATTTATTTCTCCTAAGAGAAGCTCTCTTCATTTGCCTTACTTAGACTCTAAACCCTGCTGGACAGACCAGAATGTATGAGTTTGAAATACTGTACTCCGTAAATGTTTATTATTAACAGAGTTGACTGACCATGTTGGGAGTATCCCATTTGTACTCTGGATTTTCCTATCAGGGAAGGGGCATCCATATTGATTCATGGAACAGAAGGAACTGATTCCACACTTCAGGTTACTTCCCTGGCCCAGATCATCTTGGAACCGAGAAGCAGGACCATCCGTGGTTTTGAGGCCCTGATAGAAAGAGAGTGGCTGCAGGTGAGAAACACTGTTTGATGTGCACAGGAACTGCTAATAATAATGGGTGTCATCCTAGTTGTAGGACAGACATAATGTATGAAGTTTTGATTAAAATGTTTACATTATATGTTTAATTTTCTGGAGGCAAATAATCTGTCTTCCTCTCAGTAAATGTTTATAATCTTTACTGCCTCTCAATTTTGTACCTGTCTTTGCTTATATTGCTCATTTGGCATTTTATTCCCTTAACAAGCTCTCACTAGTTGTACTTTGTTACCTACAAGGGAAAGAACAAAGAGCGTAAAACGTAGTCTCTGTCTTGCAGAGCTTAATTTTGCTAGAGATAAAAAACATAAAGCAGGAAAGGGATGTGGGGATTTGTAATTATAAGACGTGTGCTTTAGTGCTTTCTGCCTTTTGCTTGTCTGGTTCCCCTCTATCCTCTTGCCCAACCAGGTGAAATCCTTCTCATGCTTTAAGATACAGCTAAATGTCACTGCTGTCCTGAAGTCTTGGGACCTTAACCTTCTTCACAGATAAAATCCATCCATTGTCTTCATGATTTGTTTCCTAGACCCAAATAAAGTGATTCCTTTGAGGTCAGGGAACCATGCGCAGCTGCTCTATTATCCCTAGGACACAATGCAGTGCTATCACATAAAACTGAATGACAACTGAAAGAAAGTTCTCATGAAATAGATTGAAACCTCCAGGTCAGAGATTAACTTATAAATATATATACAATGTATAACTTACCAAATAATTGTGATTGAGAACAGATGTTTAGATCTATCTTGAAAGTGGAAGTATCTCTGGAGAAAAATCTTTTCTGGACCTTCTAGTTAAAATTCAGGTTTGTTGCGTGTTAATGCTGTTATGGATACCTTGTCTATCTTGCCTGACAACTGATTTGTATCTCTGTTCAAATCAGACCATCCCAAATATTTGGCAAAAATCTATTCAGCCACATTCCTCATGATGCATAGCAAACAAATAAAATGAATGTGACTTACTTACTCATATATTACCATTTTAATGAGTATCGAAGTACCATTAGCCACTAGAAAATGCTGATGTCATTATCTTTGTCTGGTAAAGTAGTATAAGGATCCAAAGATAAAGCAAGTTTGTGAAATACCTAGAAGGGTGTCATTTGGGACAAGGTCAGTACTCAGGTTCTGGGTGGGCCAGAGAGCCAAATAATTCTTGAATTTCCTTTAGTCAGTACATGTCAGACTCCTCCAATTCTTTTTGAGAGAAGAGGGGAACTGGGGACAATTTTTATCTCTAATATAAAAGTATTCATAAATATCTCTTCACGACACTAACTTTTTTCCCATATGTAATTAAAAATTGAATATCAGGAGTGACTTTACAGAGTTTGTCTGTGAGAGCCCCAGATTTATTTCCATTTAGTGGTGAGGCTTACGTAGCTTACAACAATCTGCAGTGCTTTGGACAGATAAAACGTGATAGCTGTCTTTTGTTTTGTACTTGAAGACCTTACATTCTTTGACTTTGCTACAAATTACACAGGCCTAGAAAATTTTATTTTATGAAGTTCACCAAGGATAATTGCAGTTCTTATGGTTATGCCGTAACCGCATGGCCTTGTTACATGTTTGGAAGTTGTGTTTCTTTCCTTAGATGCTAAAAATTGTTTTAAGCCAAGAAATCATTGATGTAAACAGCAGCCATCCAAATTACATGATGTTCCATTTAATAAGTTTTGTTGTAACTGTGTGAAATATGTTAATAGAATGTGCTGTAATGTGATCTCAGTGTAGGCTATGACTGTCACCTTTCCATCTTCTGTCTTAGGCTGGTCACCCATTTCAGCAGCGCTGCGCACAGTCAGCCTATTGTAATAGTAAGCAGAAGTGGGAGTCACCTGTATTTCTTCTCTTCTTGGACTGTGTGTGGCAGATACTTCGTCAATTTCCTTGTTCTTTTGAATTTAATGAGAATTTCCTCATCATGCTCTTTGAGCATGCATATGCCTCACAGTTTGGAACATTTCTCGGCAACAATGAAAGTGAAAGGTGAGTACACTGTTTACATGGGATGGGGGCCATTTTGTTTGTAATTGTTTTGGTGACCTCCTAAAAGAGACCAGGATTTGGTTCCATATTAATGTTATTTGTAAGATGGTAGAGGTTACAATTAGTATAGGTAAATTACATAATGTGTGTTCTTATTATGAGCCTATCACATGCTAGGTGAGAACATGTCCTAGATTTTGTTCTGTTAGATTAAAATTAGTCTACATACTGATTTAAAAGCTTTGAGTAAATTCGGCAACCATTTTAAATGTTAATTTCCTTATCTAAGATCATGGTAATCTTATATCTGGAAGAGGCCCTCCATCCAATTTTATAGATTAGGAGGGTATCCAAAAAGTTAAATGACGCAGCCAGTTGGTCACCAGTAGTAGGGCTAGGATGCAGGTCTTCTACTCCTGCTCCAGACTTTCTTTATTACACCTGGAAACTGCCCTCAGGCCCAGAGTGACAGTCTCACTTCACAGCCTACACTCTGTCAAGTTCATAGGTTTATTTAGAAGATTCATATCAGAATGATCTTTAAAGGTGATCAACTGGTAATTTCAATTGGGCACAGTCAAAAGGCTTTCTCTTTTTTCTGTTGTCATTCTAGCTAAAGAGACAGTTTTGTTGATCTTTTCAGAGAACTGACTTTTGGTTTCATTGATGCTCTCTATTATCTGTTTATTTTCTGTTTTGTCCATCTACTCTCTACTGTTCATTTTTTTCTTTCTGCTAGCACTGGTTTAGTTTCCCCTATTTTTCTAGTTCCTTAAGATATAAAGTTATCGATTTAAAAGTTTTGGGGGCGCCTGGGTGGCTCAGCTGGTTAAGCCTCCAACTTTGGCTCAGGTCATGCTCTCATGGTTCATGTGTTTGAGCCCCATGTCGGGCTCTGTACTGACAGCTCAGAGCCTGGAGCTTGCTTTGGATTCTGTGTCTCTCTCTGTCTGCCCCTCCCCGCTTGCACTCTGTCTCTTTCTCTCTCTCTCAAAAATAAAAAAACAGACACTAAAAAAAAATTTAAGTTTTTGATTTGAGGTATTTGTTCTTTTTTAATAGAGGTTTTTACTGCTATAAATATCCGTCCGAGCACTGCTTTTCACTGGGTCCCCATATGTTGTGTTAGCACGTTGTGTTAGCACGTTGTGTGTTTCTTTTCATTCGTCTGTTAAGTGTTTTCTAATTTCTCTTGTGATTTCTTCTTTAACCCATTGGTTGTTTAAAATTGCTTTATATAATACCACATGTTTATGAATTTTCCATTTTTTCTTATGTTATTGATTTCTAATTTCATGCTGTTGGAGAAGATACTTAGCTGGCTTTTAAACTTTTAAAATTTATTGAGATTTATTTTGTGGACTAACATATGATATATCCTGAAGAATGTTTTATGTACACTTGAGAAAAATGTGTACTCTGATATTGTTGAGCAGAGTATTATATATTTGTTTCACGTTTTATTCAAATCCTGTTATTTCTTTATTGATCTTCTGTCTAGTTCTATACATTATCAAAAGTGGGATATTGAAGTCCTCAACTATATTGTAGAATTATCTATTTCTCTCTTCCATTACATCAGTTTTTGCTTCATATATTTTGTGGCTCTGGTGCAAAGTGCCATAAATTATATGTTTGTAATTATTTTATCTTCTTCATGGATTGACTCTTTTTCCAGTTTATAATGTCCTGCTTTGTCTCTTGTAAGAGTTTTTGTCCTTAAGTTTATTTCATCTGATGTAAGTTGTCCTCCTTAGCTCTCTCTGGGTTACTATTTGTATGAAAAATATTTTTTCTTCCTTTTACTTTCAGTCTGTTTGTGTCTTTTGTAGACAATATATAGTTGGATCATGTTTTAAAATCCATTCTGCCAATCTCTGCATCTTGATTGGAGAATTTACTTCATTTATATTTAAAGTGATTACTGAAAAGGAATGGCTATTTCTGCCAGTTTGATATTTGTGTTCTGTTTATTTTATACTCTTTTGTTCTTCATCTCCTCCATTACTTGCCTTCCTTTGTGTTTAATTGATACCTTATAGTATACTATTGTGATTCCCTTCTTGTTTCCTTTTGTGTATATTAAAACAGTTTTTTGGGGTTTTTTTTACTGGTTACCAGGTGGATTTCAGTTAACATCCTAAATTTATAACAATCTACTGGACTACAAACTTAGCTTCAGTAAGCATATGGCATACAAAACTTTGCTCTTCTATAGCTCCACTCCTCTATGTGTTGTTATCCCAAGTTATATTCCTATATATGCCCATTAACATGGATTTATTATTATTTTTATCCATTTGTCTTTTAAATTATGTAGGAAATAAAAAGAGGAGTTACAAATCAAAAATGCAATAATAACTTTTATTCTTTCCTATGTAATTATCTTTGCCGAGTTGTATGTTCACATGACTTGGAGTTACTGTCTAGTGTCCTTTCATTTTAGCTTGAAGGATTCCTTTTTGCATTTTTCTTGCAAAGCAAGTCTTCTAGCAATGATCTCCCTCAGTTTTTATTTTATTGCCAGATGTGGAATTCTTCATAGGTAGTTTGGTTTTCTTTTAGCACTTTAAAAATGTTATTGCCCTCCCTTCTGGCCTCCATGGTTTCTGATGAGAAACCTGTTCTGGAGGGATCATGTAGGATCCCTGTATTTGAGAAGTTGCTTTTCTCTTGCTGCTTTCAAGATTCTCTGTCTGGCTTTGACAATTTGATTATGGTGTGTCTCAGTATGGGCAGTGAGTTGCTTTTATCCTTCTTGGAGCCTGTCGAGCTTCTTAAATATGTAGATTTGTGTCTTTTATCAAGTTTGGGGAGTTTTCAGTCCTTAATATTTGCATGTGTGTGTGTGGTTCTTTTTGTGTTTGTGTTTTTTCCCCATTTGTGTTGAGGTATAAATGACAAATTGGCCATGAATTCTTTATATATTCTTTTGTTCCCTTTCTCTCTTCTGTCTCTGGGACTCCCATTATGCGTATGTTGGTATATTGCTTAGGCTCTGTTCATTTTTCTTTATTCTTTTTTTGTTCTTCTCAGAGTGGGGAATTTTTGTTGACCTGTCTTCAAATTTGTTTATACCTGTGCCTGCTCAAATCTGTAATTAAAACCCATCTAGTGCGTTTTTTGTTTTTTTTTTAATTTCAGATATTATACTTTTCAGTTTCAGAATTTCTGTTTGGTACTATTTTATAATTTTGTCTATTGATATAGTCTGGGTTTTGAGACCTTGTTCTCCTGGTTTCCTTTAGTTCTTTGTCCTTAGTTTTTTTGTTTTGTTTTGTTTAGCTCTTTGAGCATATTTCAGACAGTTGGTTTAAAATCTAGTAAAACCCAAGTCTGTGCTTTCTCAGGAACAGTTTCTGTTAATTTTTTCCTATGAATGGGCCATACTTTCTAGGGTTTCTTTTTGCATTATTTGTAATTTTAAATCTGGACATTTAAAATATAATGTGGCTCTCTGGAAATCAGATTCTTCCCACTCCTCAGCATTTGTATTTATTGCTTGCTGTGGGCTGTAGCTGTTTATTTGGTCATTTCTGGGTTTTTTAAAATATAATTTGCTGTCAAGGTAGCTAACACAGTGTGCTCTTGGTTTTGGGGGTAGATTTCACGTGATTCATCGCTTTATTTAGTCATTTTCTAAACTATATTGTAAAGCGTATATATTTTTTTTCATGTGTGGTTTCTGAAGTATCTGTTCTTTTAGTTTGTGTTCATCTAGTGTTTGACAGCAATTTTCTTGAGTGCCAGGAACCAAAAGAGAGAGATGAAAAGAGGGAGGGAAAAGAGAAAGGGAAAACCACTCAAGACAAAGGAAAAATCCTTTTGCAGTCTTTGCAGATGGGCTTTGTGCTGGAATATTTCTTCAGTGCTTAAGCTTCAGCCTTCACTTCCGGCTCTCACTGAGCCTTGAGATCAGCCAGAACCCAAATCTTGGGACCTTCTTCGGCCCTTTCTGAGCAGGTTTCCTGCATTGGGCATGCATGTGGCTTTCTGAATTCCTCAGTATACATGGGCACCTTTGAATACTCTGGTTTTCCAAAGAATCTTATTCCCTAGGCTTTTGGTGCTCTGGTGTTTCCTTCACACATCATCTTTTCCCCTAGAAGACTGCAGGTTGCCCGCTCATCTTATGTTTTCTAAGAATGCCCATCACCTTTCTGCCCACGGTGATTTCCAAGTTAGACATGACAAAGACAAGTCCGAACCCTTGGGTAATTTAGAACAGAGAGACACAATTCTTTGTGAATAAGGACTGCTGTGTTCCCTCTGGAGCTGGGACCAGGGTCCCATACTGAGAACATGGGCTGCCCTCTTCAAGACCTCCAGGAGCTAGGAAATGGGTGAGGCAAGAGCAAATAAAAATGCCATAAAGCTTTGTGATTGTTTTTAAGTCCCCTTTTCCTTGATTCTTCATTTGCTTGTGTGCTATAAACTTTGGACTATTTCTGAGA